GGTAGTAGTAGTTACCTCATCTGTGAACGACACAAAACTAACGAGCTTCTGAGTTTGTTTGCATCAACGGACCATTTCTGGTACATCTTTCTCTCTTTCATTCCATCAAACTACTGCACAAATGATTTTTTTCCACAAAAGATTTACACCCCCCCCTGCCCATCTCCACCCACCGAATCTCTAAATCACTGTCTGAAGTGAACTCTGATGGTCTGTCTCTTGAACTCATCAAGTATTAGTGTTAGTTCATGATCTTGAGATTCTGATAGCTCTTGTCAATGCATTATCCCTGAATCATGGAGACTTGCTACTCCGACTCCGAACTCTAATAATTTCTCTCTATCTGTTTCTTTCTCCTTCTGGACCATTTAGTCTTAGTGCTATTGCTTTTCAAAGACTGAAAGGTACCGAACTCACTATTCTGAACGGTCTAAGCATTTATTACATTGTTTCTTATGATCCTGTCTGGTTTACATAAAACGGAAATCGATTAACGGTGAACGAGGTGCCCTCCAATTCTTGACCAAGTTTCTGGACATAAATATACATACATCGTACAATAGGACTCTAATTTTGGAAATACATCTCACTGCCAATTGTCATACGTGTATATGGATTGCTTTGGGTGAAGAGTATTTATTCCAAACTTTATCTCCCATTGCTATGTCCTTAGTTATCTTGTATAACCGTTTGAATTTGCGTGACCTTGACGATAACGATAAAATTTGTAGTAGTTAGAAACTGGCAGCTTAGAGTTTAGTAATATTTTTATGCAAAGCAGCAAAGAAGTTCGGCCTTTCTCAAAAAATGATTGCTGTTTCATGAGGGTGTTTATTCTGTTCAATACACGCATGCTGACTAGGCTATCTGCATTCATTTGGTGCATAGTATATAAGCCGTTTGATGAGAAAGTTCCAGTTTGAATACACTGCTACGTGTTTTGGCTACAAACTACTCACGTAACATCTCTCTCTTTCTTTTCCTGGCGCAAGCGGACAAATAATGCTGTTTGACAGTGAACTTTGTGAACTGCATGCGACTGTCTCCAGTGCTGGAATTCAAAAAGAAGGGCTAATAGAACGTTATTGAAATGAAAGTATAACACCTGTTTCATGTCCGTGAGTGGTTAATGCAAATGAATTCTAATGATGTCTTTTGCTCGAAGCTTTGTTATGTTACAACGGATGCACCAGCGACCGTCTTCGAGATAGAGAACTCGTACATTCAAGTGGTATTCGACTTATGGAAACAAAAAAAAACAATTTGATGTTAGTAATAGTTTGCACTGAGATCGTCTGGGCATGTTTCAACAACTACTATAGAAGAAGCAGAGTTCCTCAAAAAACCGTTCGATCAGATGTTCACTGCAACGACACACGAAGCATTACAGATTCCAAGCAAACTACCCTGTATACCGTATCCGTCAGTGAATAACATGGCTTTTGACAGTGAGAAGGTTAGAGCAAAACTACCAGCTTTGTGTAAGAACACATCCCCAGGCGCAGCAAACATGCATCCCCGAACTTTGATCTCGCTAGCCAATAGCATTTACAAACTTCTGACTGTTCTTTACTAAAGGATGTTCCACAAGGCAGTGATTCCGCGGTCATGGAAGGAAGGGGTGATTTCTCCAGTTACAAAGAAAGCACTCGTAGTGATCCCGCCAGCTACCGCCCTGTGACACTTCTTCCGATAGTGTCAAAAGTCATGAAGGCTATTGTGGCAGATCTGTTGATGGGATATCTGAAGAACTATGAGCTTTTGTCTCTGACTCAGCACAAGCGTTCGTGCACCACCAATCTACTTCTTACACGAGATGAGTGAACAAAATCCGTCGATGCAGGTCAGCCATTGGATATAGTTTATTTGGACTTCTCCAAGGCATTTGATCGAGTAAATTACCCAATTCTACTGCGAAAACTCTATAACTACGGAGTAAGAGGTTTGGTTCTGGACTGGATCACTGAGTTTCTCCGACAAAGGACCATGTCAGTTTGCGTTGGTGAGTCATTATCAGAGCCCATCACCGCTGCCCGAGGGATTCACAGAGATCCGTACTGGGGCCTCGTCCCTTCCTGGGATTTACAAGCGACCTGTCACATGTTCTTGGGCCTAATACACTGCTATTTGTGGACGACGCTAAGATCTGGAGAACTGTAACACATCCAGAGGATAATACAGCACTCCAACAAACGATCGACGCAGCCCACCGATGGTCGATCGCCAATGACAACGAGTTCAACGTTTCCAAATGCAGAGTTATTTCCATGCGGCATATGACTCGTTTTTCCTGTGTTCTGGGGAACCACAAACTACCGCATACCACTGATGAAAGGGATTTGCGAGTTATGGTGCAGGAGGACGTAGGATGTTCCACGCACTGTGCCAGAGCATCATCTATGGCTCTAAAGCAAGTGGGACTACTCAGACGTGTTTTCGGGCAGTTCGAAAGAGCACTGTTCCCACGATTGTTATCAGCGTTCGTTCGGCCACACACGAACTACACCGTTCAAGTATGGAATTCGTGGTTAAACAGCGACAAGAAGGCTCTAGAACGTCCGTAAAGAATGGCAACGAAATTGGTGAGAGGTCTGTATAACGACATACTCCGAAAGATTGCAAATATTGGGACTCTACTCTTCTCAATACCACCGACTTTGAGGGGGACCTAATCTTGGTATATCGCATACTGCATCAAGCAAGTCAACCTTGTCGTTGTATGCTGACTTTATCTCAAAATGATCATCTCAGGGGACATCCATCTTGATTGCTGACATCACTCGTTTGCAGTCACAGTGTGAGGCGTATGGAATTCTCTTCCATCTGATGCAGTGCGTGCTCCTACAGTTGAATTATTTAAATCTCAACTTGATGAAGTATTGGAACAGTTAAAATTTTGACATCCCTGAGTGATCATGCAAATTGTTATCGTTATTATTTTCTCATTGTGAAGTTGTTCAAAATATTCTTACAGATCAGTTTTAGCTTTGTTAAATCGCCCAAAATAAAACTTTGACTTTGACTTTGACTTAGTACAGATATATTGCGTTTGAATAAGGTTGGAAACACGAAACGTTGGCAGGAGCACACTGGATGAAAGTTAGGTGGTTGCACGTGTTTGATTAATATCTGTATTGGGCTGCCTGTTCGGCTACTGAGTGATTCGGACTAGCAATCCAATGAAATTTCTCATTTTTGCCAAGTACAAAAATGGGAACGCTCATAGATCAAAAGAATCATGTTTATTTAACCAGTCATTCACAAACAAGTGTAATTGATTGTGAATTCTGTTGAAGCGACAATGTTTATTCCTTATCAAGTCGATACACGATTTTCTGATGCAGGCACACACACACACACGAGGAGCGCAGTTTCATTTTGATTGGAAACCAATCGAAGTTTGGGTCTGTCTGGGATGAAATTATGTCATAGTTAGGGATGACCTTTAAGCCGGTTCCGCATCATTAGAGTGCAAGGGGTGGATGTCTGTTCGCGCCGTGCTCTATAGATAAATGGTGGCAGTGGATTGTGGGAGAAGATCAATGATTAAAATCTTCGTGGTTTCGAGGAGAAACGCAAATACATTTAGTTTGGAGCACCTACAAGAATCCGACCTCTCACTCTGATGCTGTTTGATGTGGACCGTAAGGATCATTTGTCATTCTGCACTGGTGGATCTACTCACGTGTTTTCTTAAAATTGCATAAAATTAACCTTAACTCATTTAAACACCGTATTTCACGAGTTTTGTATACGTTCTTTTCGAAGGCTCGAGGGGTGAGGGTGAGGAGTGGGGAGCCGGGGAGGGGAGAGAGCAGTCCGTTGCATTACATTTTTCACTCGTCCCCAAAGCAACATATGCGTTCATTTTGTACGCTTTTAATCGATTCCGTTATTTGCTTACACTCGTGTCTGATATTCTGGCGACTGATAGAAATAGAACGGTGCGTTTCACGATGAGAAAACTATTCTCAAAGGTTGCCAAATTGGATCAGTGCTCACGACTGACTTGTGATGTTCTCGAATCACGCGATAGTGATCATCAAACTTTCACGTGTTCTATCTTGCCACGCTCTCAATGACTGTGTGACGTTTTGTATTCAATGTAGTGGACAGTTATAATACGGATATGGCGAGAAAAAAGCAGACAAACATGAGGTGAGATGAGATGAGAGCGTCATGAAAGTACATCTGTCTCAAATAGAAGATGTACGTGATCATTAAAAAAGGACTGAGGTTTTCTAACCTTTCGGAATCACGTTCTTCGGGGGGTTTGAGTGTACTCAGGCGGGTTACGGTTGTAAAACTTTACGTGAGTATGGAATTTAACACCAATTTCCATGCGAATTTAATTAGAGAACTAACAGTTTTCAGTGTAAATGTAGCGTGTAGTGAAAAGCTAGGAAGCACTACTACTGAACAAATCTGTTTCAATCTGAGTAGATCTCATTCAATCAATTGAGGATCACGAACCCGGGATCAAATAGATAGGACACACGGGTATATTACACCCACTCGGTCACTGGAAAACTGCTCAGACTGTTTCTCATTTTGAATAGACACGCTATAGCACAACCCATCGTTTTGGGGCTTGTGTTATAGGGAATCGAGCCCAGTTCACCTCAGCACTAGTCTCCCGGGCGGGTTATTAATCAGTTGGAAACTTTCAAAACCTGATCAGACCCGACCAGGTCGATAGAAACGTCCAGTGCTGCCCAGCTATTCAGTTCATGAATCACTTACACGACGAAGTTATCAAATAATCATGTTCCTTTAGATCGCAATGATGCACGGAATATCAATGCGCTAATTACTGTTACCCCCAGACAATTTGGAATAAACCTTGTTAGATTGCCAGTACATTGTGTGAAACATAAACTGTTTGTCCTGAGAACGAAGAAAACCCAAAACCGTTGTTTGATCACATTATCGATGGGTTATGCGCACAAACAAATTTCGAATGAAAACCAAATGAGCAATGTTCGTTGCACCGCACTTACTGTGACCATTTGATCGTCAACCAGTTCACGAATTATCGTAGTTTCCGTGAAGCCATGTTTCTGCTTATGGGACAGTTTGATATCCGACTCTAAAGTGACAGTGGCCTACGGGGGGGGGGGGGGAGAGAGAATTACAGCGAAACTCATTATCAACACTATTTTTTGTTGTTTTATGAAAAAGTATAATCGTTTGCGAGTTTGTATATAAATATATGTAGACGTGTAGTTCCACATAGATGAATAGATAGATAGATAGATAGATAGATAATTCGAGTACAGTAACATGAAAAAAGATTTTGACCCCGGTGATCACGTGAGTATCTTTGACACACCAATCGATCGTGATCGATTGCAAAATCAGATTTTGCACGTTTTTTTACTTTTTCATTCTGACTGGTTTACTTGCTTCAGGTCCAGTCCCAACTTGGCTAGTGGACCGCAAACAGTCTTACATCGCATTTGATGAAAACCGGTAATTACACGTAACAGTAAGTAATATATCAATTTTAAATTGGCACACTTTTTGCTATCAGTCAAATAATTTGCAGAAATGCAAAAAACCGCACGTACATAATGCTCAACAAAGCTGTGCAAGAGGAGTGAATTCGCTTTTTCCAGTTCACTTTTATACTTTGATAACCGATCGTTATATTGGTAGTGACGTATTTCAAGTGTTGTGAGATACTACTCACTTGTGAATAGTAGGTAACACAGTTGGTGATTTAGTTCAAAAATCAAAAATTAACGAGATCACCGAGGGTGAATTGCTTGATCTCAAAGAATAACTATCATTTGCCACATTCATTACCCGTTGTGCAACCAGGAACTGCGATGGTATGTTTCTGATGGTATCTCCGTGTTTTGTATGCCAAATTAGTGATGTCTCATATGTACTTCTCAATAAACAACTATCATCGACCAAGCACCGCCTTGTGGAACACAAGTAGTAGGATACAACCAAAATTTGCTGTTCCAAATCGAATTTGGTCTGATAGCAATCACACAAGCAAATTAAATTATGTGTGCGAGAGCACACATAACAGATTATTCTGTTTCTGTTAGTCCCCATTCTGTATCGCGCACCACTACAGTGTTTCTGTTCCGACTCCAGTTTTGACTGAGTTTGTCGTAAGAGCTGCGTGTGTTCTCAGACACAGTCACCTGGGGATCACACCACCTTGAGCGAATTACAACGCCCTGTTAATTCATCGTATTTGAGTGACCAGACAGTGTTTCAAATGTGGCTTTCATTCATCGTATTGAATGCGCTTTTTTCTAGTAAACAAAATGGACGACCTCATCATGTTTCTTCATTTTGTGTTTCTCCATGATCAACGGCACATTTTCCCAGCGCATGAGTTCCTTTCGGTACGTTTTAGCCACGAGCAGAGGGGTAGCCTTGAGAACAATCATACAAATACCACTGTCTGAACCAATCCCAACAAAATGTTGAGTAATCCAAACATGGGTACAGTGCAAAATGTCCTTGTGACACATTTTACATCACCCTGGGAATAAAACCATCCATTTTCCGGGGTGTATGAAATGAGAGGTTTTTGGCGAAGCGATATAAGTGTATTTTTTTAATAAAAGGTTAACGTTAAATTGTTCACAAATTTCTAATCTCTCTAATCTATGAGATGCCTCATAGGTCAGTTATTTGAACTGGTTTTTAGGCAAATCATCGCCGTGATCTGAAGCAATTTAAATCGCGGTTAAATAATACAAGTTGCGACAACCTCTACCACATGCTTGTCGTAATAGGGCAAGAGTGGGGAGGGTTACAACCTCAAATGGAAGCGATCATAAAGAAAACTCAGGTCAGATCTGCGATCTGCCTAATTTTGGATTAATGAAAGCAATTTACATGACAGTTCACGTGATCCAACGTTGAATGAGGTTATCAGGGTTTCGCAGTTTCCTACGTAATCGGCACTTATAAGCGTAGAAACGGCAATGTCCGAACGTTCCGGCATTCCGAATACAAAACACATGATATTCCTTGTAAGAGAATCTCAAACAGTTCCAGAAAGTCGATGGGAATTTTCCCGATCAGTTTCGTTTCTAATGAGGGTATTTGTCATACAAACAATGTCTGGCTATCTACGCTCTATCCCGGACAGTCAACACTCCTGATCATGCTCACAGTCCCGAAGAAGCTGTTCGAAGAAACGTTGTACAAATTATCGGACTTATTTTTAAACCGCCGCTCGTGGGGTGAAAATCTAGGAAGCGCCGGACAGCTGTTTCGAGCTGGTTAGGTCTCATCCGTCCAGTGTCCAAATCCATCAAACCAACTAAAGATCGCGAACCCGGGACCTCACAGAGTGACTCGGTTGGAAACATTCAAAACCTGACCAGTTATTTCAATGATAATTTGCCCGAATACAATAATATCATTAAAGCATGGAATGACGCGCGAAACAAGCCCGATCAGTATGGTAGAGTCATATATCAGTGATATCATCGTTGGCTGTACATATAAAAACTACTCATAGCCGATTGTACAATAATACACGGTAGAGTGTTCATCCCCACACCATACAAACCATACCCCCACTGAGACAACGTTCTGGAAAAGGGGCTAAATTGCGAGGATCACAAATACTAAATCATCTGTACACCGTGTTGGAAGCTACTCCCCCCTGCCGACAACACACCGAACGGGACACTCGATTGGCAAAAGCCNCTCGATTGGCAAAAGCCATATTCGTCCTGTGCAAACTGAACTGAACTGAACATGATGCCCTTTACAAGCTAGCTTAGTGCTATGAACAAATCATGAAAGGTTAGCCAACGTGAATACGAAGAATGGGTGAGATGAAAAACTTTCTGGAAGTTGCGCAATTGATCGGTTTCTCGTGTGCGTATTGTGCTCTTTTTGTACACACACAAACACACACACACATTACCTGACCGAATAGCAATAAACTGCAACACACGTTCCGGCAAAGGTGGTGGTGGTGGTGGTGGTGGAGAAAACTGTACTAAACTAACATGGTGCAACTGGTGCCTTGAGTCAGGTGTGTCCCAACCCCCCCCCCCC